GGGGGGGGGGGGGGGGGGGGAGATTTTGCTTCGTTCCTAAAATTACAGGACTTGACGAATGAGTATAAACTGAAATTCCCTTGGCCTCGGACTATTTTTCCTCAAAGGTAATGTCCTACAATTTATATAATAAAATGTGTAAAATTTGAATGGAATTTTTTGGAAAAAATATTTTTTTTCTCCCAACCAAATGAATCCCAAGAGTTAAAAGTAAAAGAAATATAGTCTTGAAAAAATTACAGAATCGACAAAACTTTATTTAATCCCGTGCATCGCACGAGTTATAATGCTAGTATTCTTTTGTAAGAGACTTCGAAACTCAGTTACTGAAACAAAAATTTTTCGAAAGTTTAAGCACCATATATAAAATTTACATCGATAACTTTATATCAACATTGTGATAGTTTACACCACTGCAATGTTGGAGTAAAAATCTAGAGTAAATTCCATAAGATGTCCCTAGTTATAGTTCAGTTTACATATTTAGTCCCTACATATCATATATCACTAATTTAGTCCCCAATTATTATATTGTTTTCTATGAATGGTCCGTTGTTAACATTTTCATTAAAAACATGAATAAAATTGCAAATTCACGCTTCTTTCTCTCCTCAATTAAGCTTCCTCCCTCCTTTCCCAAATCCGTCACTGAGTTTGAAGCTTTGAACCCAAAACCAAAATCATCACTCCTCTCTCAATTGTTCGTATTTTTGGTAGCATCCCAAATCGAAACGAGTAACCTTCATTGACGAGTTTTAAGGTTTGTTTTCTTTGCAATTTTCTGAGACTAACCCATAAAATTCATCCATGAAGGTTATTGCTTTCGATTTTGGGTTCCACGAGGAAGATGAACGACAGAGAGAGGAGTGACCGTTTCGGTTTTGGATTTAGAGCTCCAAATTCGGCGATGGTTTGGGAAAGGAGTGCGAGAGGAGGGATGAAGCTTAACTGAGAAGAGAGAGGAGCGTAAATTTACAATTTTATCCATGTTTTTAACAGAAATGTTAACAAAGGACCATTCGTGGAAAACAATATAATAATTGGGGACTAAATTATTGATATGTGATAAGTAGGGACTAAATATGTAAAACAAACTATAATTGGGGACCTTTTATGGAATTTAATCAAAAATCTATTTAAAAAGTTGGAGTAAAAATTGAAATGTAAAATTAACATCCATACTTTATTTAAAAAGACATAGAGTCAACATATGGTTTTCCCGCCCAAAGAGTGACAATTACAACTGGTAATTGTGAAGTTAAAATGGTAAGTGGCCGAAATTAAAGTAATAATTACTATAATTATTATATTTATAATAATTAAAGAAAGGTAAGTTAAAATGACAAAAAAGTAAGTTTATTATTGTGAAGTTAAAATTAATATTACTCTTTACACACAATGCCTTTAAAAACATGATATTATTAATCTAAAAAATAATAATAATTATTAATCTAAAAAATGGTTTAAAAGCTATAATAAATACAGTTCCTTTTTTATCACAAGGTATTAACCAATTTCCTTTTTTAAAACGAACAGTTTTAACACGTAATCATTTTAAAAAGGGAACAACGATAATATGACACAATTTATAATTGGTAATTAATATTAACTGGGAGGATTTTTTCTAATCTAGGTAATTCTAAATCCTCAATAATAATGATGCCATGGAATATTATACAAAAGGAAATATAATTTTTAAAAAAGGAATATTACTTTTAAAACACAATGCTTTCAATTTGTATGGAGTGTACTAATTATTTTGGGTATAAATAAGTATTATGAGTACTGATTGGAAACCTCCGAAATTTTTGCTAGAATAAGTAGTTGTCATTTTTAACCTTTTTTTGTGTAAGCGTGAAGTTAATATAGCTATTATTTTTATAATAATTAACGTGAGTAATATAAAATGATAAGCATGGGTAATATAAAATGGTAAACGTGAGTTTACCTTTTTTAATAATTAACGTATAAAAAAGGTAAGTTATACAATTCCAAAGTGTAAGTTTTTAATAAAGTTAAATTATACAATTGCAAAGCGTAAGTTTTTGAAAATTGGAAATAATTAAAAAAGGTAAGTTATACAATTATACTCCCAATTTCGAAAAAAATAATGATGGTAAGAATATAAAAAACTGAATTCATTTTATTAAAAAAAATATTATTTCCGGATTTATATTAATTAGTAACTAATTAATATTTAAGGTATTATTTTAGTAAGATATTTTTAATTACGGAATGTTATTAAATGCATCGAGTATTATAGAAAGTAAATATTTTCATATTTTAAATAACTAAATGCATTTCGAAAAGAAGGAAAATTACATTAAGAAAATATATACTTTAAATAAAGTATATGCAAATATATTTTTAAAGTTGCTAATACAAAATATTTATTATTTATTTATTTTCGATAAAGATTAACATTAATTTTAATCTTTTTTTGTGTAGGGGCGTTCGGTTAAATTGTACGTTATGAGGAAATCATGTCAACGTTAAATTGTAGTATGATAAGTGTTTTTTACTTTAAAATAATATAATCTTTATATTCTATTGCATCTAATTTTTATGATTGAAAAATAATTTGAATTTAATAACATAAAAATGGTTGGACTGGTGCTATACTAGTATGTATAACAAGACTAGTATTTCTACCCGTGCGATGCACGAGGTCGACGAAATTTTTGTCAATTCTGAATTTTTTTTAATGCAATATATTTTTCGGATCAAGTAAATATATTTCTAACACGATTTTTTATCATTGGATAAAAACACCAAGGTAGAATAAATAATATTTGAGGAATTGAAAATATACTCAAAAATGTCTTTTTTAATTCCAAACATGTTGGCATGAAGAATAAGAAATTAAGTACTCTCTCTGTCCCCCTGCATTTGTCAACTTTCATTTTTACACACCATCCAATGCACTTCTTTAATCCATTTTATCTTGTAATTTGTATATT